TGCGTATGAATTTTGGTGTATATTATTATTGATTAGTGTGTTTTGTTTGATTTTTTGTAAACTATTTTTAAGTTTTGTAGATTAATTGTGTTGTATCAATATTAGTTAATTCTATTTTTGCTCTTGGTTTTCTTATTTCAGGATATTTTCTTTTTCATTTACCAACTTTTTTTTTTATCAAAAAGGATAAAAAAAAAAAGGAATATCATATATTTCCTTCTTCTGACCTTTTACTTGAGTGTTAGCGGCTGTATTGTTCAAGAGACCCACTTCTTGCCTTGCGAAAGAAATATTAATTTTTGAAAGTTTTACGTGATAAAATTATCCTGATAGTAGCAGACATGTGCTCTGAATTATTTACTAATTGTGTTGGTATTGATCTTGTTTTCGGAGCTATGCCATGGAGTTTTATTCTTACATACGATTTATTCTCCCACCCCATATCGAATATGACTTGTAAGTTTCTTAAATTGAAGAAAATTAAATTATCTGTGCTTTTGAGAAAGCTTTTAATATTAATATTTAGCTTCACATGGAAAGGCTCTCAGTTCTTCATCTGAACTTTCGTTCGGTCCAACCTAACACAAATTTAACGTATTAATCAATAATCTGTTTCTTCTTCATCAAGTTAGAGTAACTCACTGACAGTGTAAAGACGTTACTATGTTTGTTGTGGTTATGTTCAAAGTTGTGTTACGATCAAACATCAACACTAGAACTATGTATCGTGCATCAAGGCAACTAGGGACATACCTATAGAAAATACTCCTGTTTGGATTCCCATTGAACTTTCGTTTGAAAAGAGAGCATTAAATCATCTTGTTACTCTCAGTCCATGCACTAGCAATGGTATTTAATATCGGAACAACAAGATAAACAGTCGCTCGCCTGCTATGTGGGCATAATATCGAAGTTCTTCTCTTATTCTCTCCAATCAACAGGCGAGACAACCGAGGTGCAAAAGGAAGTTCTACGTTTACGGGAGTTACATTAATCCCAACAGTTAAAAGTAGCGAGAAACACAATTAGTTAAGTGTAAATTACTCCTAGCTATCCAAGATCCGTATAAATGATCATTGTTTCCATCTTCGATGTGATATAAGTGAACATTGGTGACTTATGAACATATTGACACTTACACTTATATAACAGTATGACTCTGGGATTTTATGTGTAGCTCGTGTAAATCGTTTGATTTTTTGATATTAGTAGTATACAGTCGAATTTGGCAGAGTGCTCGCAAATATTCAATGAACAAACTAATGAAGTGTGTCTGTCGCTCTTATATTTTCCAGTCTATCCTGTGTGAGGCCACTTATTACAATGATAATTTTTATAAATTAAACACAAAAATAAAAATAGTTTTCTAATTCTAAAGTGCCCTAAAAATCAGATCAATCGCTACATTGCAAAATAACATACCAACAGTTCGCATAGAGGTTCATACAAACAATAAAAATAAACATTTCTTTGTTCCATTGTGACCAAGTTAGTGAAACCGTATAACAGTGTTTATAGTGGGAAATTTTCAAATTTGTGTACGAATTGCGAAACTAAAAAGATATCAACTTGAGCGCAACAAATATTCAATGTGTGTGTCTTTAAATAAATTTAATAGTAAACTAATTAATCTTTTTTGGGATATTGATTTGAGTGGTTTCATGATCACCATCTAAAGGCAACCCTTGTATACCCATCTATAGTTATGGGGACTAAGTATTACCCAACTCCTATCTCTTCACTCACCAAACACACAATTAATGTATATATATTAGGGCGATGTTTTTTGTTTTAATATATACTATTTTTACTTACATAAATAAATAATAACAAATAAATAAATATATTTATTTCTCTCACTAGAACATGGACTTGTGTCCTCAGCCTCAAATAGCTCCCTAAGTCCATAGCTCAACACCTCTGGTGGCCATAAATATAAACTCACAGTGGCCCCATAGCACTTGAAAAAGTATGAACTGGGGCTGGGCAAAAGAACTAACTGCCACCCCCCATACATTCGGAGCGCAGACAATTACAAAGAGTATATGTAACTACGGAATACAAGATAAACACAAAGGAGAACTATTTCTTGGAACTGGTTTCCAAAAACAAAAAATGAAAAACCAATACTCAGAAATACGAACATGTATATTTTTTATAAACTAGTCATGATTTTCTGGCCAGGAAAGTAAAACAGGACTAACGAAAATATACCCAAACAATCCCATTACTATATTTACAAAGCCCTTCTAGGGCTCTCCACATCAGAGTCGCCTGTACCCTCCCCAGTACGTTAGCCAAAGAATTTTGAATTAAAATATGAACGAGATGACCCACACATATCATGCATCAATATATAAAGATAGAACGCCTAAAATTTCCCATTTTCCAATGGCTGAAAGAGACTTTAGGTTGGGCGTATTAAAATCGCCAAACAATCCTTTTTCTTCAACACAGCAACAGACAAATTCTTAAAGCAAGATGAACCATAAACAACTACATCAATATAGTTTTTTTATTTTTTAAACCAACTAGATATCCTATGCAACAAACAGCCATATCCAAGAAAATTAATGGTGGATGAAGATGAGGATGAGGAAAACCAACAAAAAAAATATCATCCAGTGACATTTATTTTCCAAACTAAAAAATATTCCACAATAGATATACAGATCGCAAGTTCTATCCCAAATGTATAAAAATAATTTTTCCAGATTATGATACAACTCCTAGGAAGTTGAAATTTGGAAAACCTTTTACTTTTTAGATACATCTAAGTAAGGTGCAATTAAAAAAGTAAAAAAAAGGTTTAAAATTTAAAAAATATTCACTAAAAGAAAAAAATAAGAAAATCAAAAAACTCAATTTTCAAAAAACTTAATTAAAAAAACTCAAACAAAACACACTGATTAAATTTTTTTTTTTCCATAATAAACAACAATGAGATATTATTAAACTTAAATGTTAAGAGTTCATTTGAATAAATGTGAATTTTAAATTAAAGGATTTGAGATTAAATTTTATACAAATTTTGGGGAGTAACTATTTTATAGGTGGATTGAAAAATTAAAAAAGAAGATATGTTGAGACAGAAATGATATATTTTAGTAGAGAAATTCAATAAAACATACCGCAAAAAAAATGTCTATCATATCTCGCAATTATGATCTTCGTGGTCTTTAGTTATAACACATGATAGTGTTAGATATAATTTAGCTATAACTTCTTGTGGTTGTTATTTTAATTATGACTATATAGCAAGTAATAGTTAGTTATGACTCATTCTGATATTAGTTATGACCTATTGTAATTTATTTTTATTTTTATAATTGAAGATGTGTTATTTGATTATAATTTATATAGTTGTCATTTTAGTTATAAATGGAAAAAAACACATGAGGGATAAACTCCACACGTCAAATGTAACTAACAATCCAATAAATTCTATATCTTCATTGACATTTATTATGTTTGTATATCAATAATGATAGATATCACCATTATATTGAAACTTTTATAAATAATAATATGATTTATTATTACATCTTTATTTTCAATCAAAATAACTATTATTATTCTCATAATTTTAAAAATGTCATTGACATTTCACTTTAAATAATATTTTTATAATTTTTTTATTTAATATATTTTCTTTACATTTAAAAAAAAAAAAAAATCTCAAAACTCCGGGGTACTTGAACCCCTGAGCCCAACACAGCTCCGCCCCTGGACCAAGTAATATTCATCTCACCATAGTTATCACTAGACATGCCCAAGGCTTCCCACGTTGCCTTTGAGGACCTCCACCCTCTTGGAAACTATTGAGGGCAAATTTTATTAGAAATTGCAGGCAAACACTTGTATATTGGGTAGAGTTACCATCAATGCAACAGTTAGAGTCATTCTCCATGGCGCATTGTCCAAGAGATTTTCTGCCCTTAATGTTGCCACTAGGTTTGCAAACTTGAGCCTCGGCTTCTAGACAATGAGTAATAAGGAAAACAAGCAATATAAGAAAAAATGCTCCCAATTTGAAGGTCTTCATACTCTCTTGTTTTTAGATAATGTGTTAATTGTAGTGGTTTGATATGAAATCTAATGCAAATTTCAACTATATACAAGATCGAGAAATATCATTTTACCTTTCAAATTTTTACATGTTTTTTCAATTTAACACCTAGATTTTGATTGATACCAATTTTATATTCAGATTTTTGAAATTTTGATCAATTTGGCCTTTGCCGTCACATTCCGTTTACAATTGGACGGAATGTGCTGACATGACACTAAAATTCATTTAAAATTTCATTTTACCCCAAACTACTATGCCTTAAAATCAATTTGCCCCCTGAGAGGGAGATTTATGATTTGAGATTGGGCCGTGACGTTAGCCGGACAGATTTGGGCAGAGGTATTGGGCTCCAAGATCAGGCCGTGATATTGCTCGGTAATGGCAAAGCCCATGAGGAACCGAGCTATATGATCTCGGTTCCGCGAAGGGCGGACAGGTGGAGGAACAGCCCAGATGAGGCTCCCCGGCTTACGCGTTGCAAGGTTGTAATGCACGCACCTTAACCCGGTAGGAAGGCCGGCACTTGGAACGTGGCCAAGAAGGTTGTTGGCTGACCGGCACAACCAATCTCCAGCTCAGCTTCGCCGGAATACAGTTGAGCACGGCTGGAATTAGGCCCGGTAGTAGGAAACTATATCAACTGCATTTCGGCAGGTTCTGTATGGCCGTTGATAGCCGACGTAATGTTGCCCGACTGCCGTGCTCCCAGCAGAGTGGGCTGGCAGTTAGGTTAGGTGATGTATAGCAAGATTTGTGCTGACAGATGGGATAACAGAGCCACGTGTCGAGAGACCAATGGGAGTAGATTTGGGGCGCAGGAGGGTATATAAGCATGTCTGCGCCCCCCATACGGGGGACAGAAACATTTTGTAAGGAAATTCTTACACTCTAACACTCCTCTCTCTCTCTCCATCTATCCTAAGGTGTGTGCTAACTTGATCGTCGGAGGGTTTTTCCGGCCACACACCGCCGGGTAGCTCACCGTAATTTGCTCGCAGGTGATCGGACAGAAATGGAGCTCGGAAGAAAGGAGTACGGGCTTGCCGGAATATTTGCTCCCCGTACAATTGGCACCGTCTGTGGGAAGCTTGACAGACAAAACCTTGTCTTCCAGGCTCGTCTGATCGCCGTCCATGGAGAACAACAATGAGTTTCCGTTGTCTTCCATAGACGGAGCCACCTCGGAGTTCACCCGAAGGAGAGAAGGACCTCCCGCCATCCATCCAATGGCGGACTTGGAGACACCCACCAAAGGACAGACAGGAGATGCGCGGGATAAGCGCGGAAGAAGTTATGGTCATTCACGAAGTCCGGACGGTCATCGACGGCGGAGAGAATTACATGCCTGACGTTTGGAACACAAGTTGAGGGACCAAGACGCTGTCATCCGGCGAATGGCGGCGGAGATGGAGGAGCTCAAGCGACATGTCAAAGGGAAAGGTGTAGCTGGAGTGGGTGACCACAGTGAGCGCACCCCATCCCGCCATTCAGGCGGTCAGAGTCAGCGACGCACTCCGTTCATTTCTATTACCAGAAGTTACCAGGTTGGTGATTCCGACGTGCATGCAGACAGCACCTACCGGCCCTCACGTCCGGTGACGACGTCGAGGTACTCTTACTCTGCTCATTCAGAGGATTTGCGGGCAGTCTTAAAGGAGCGGGCTCGCCGGCGCGAAGCTCAAAGAATACCGGTGTTCCAGCGGCTGTCCTACGGGGTTCACGCCAGCGAGGAGGTCGGAATGCCTCCACCCCGCCAAGCTGCGCCACTCCTAGTGGATTCAGATTTGGCCAGGTTGAGTGCCACCCCTTTTTCCCTGGAAATAGAAACTACACCGCTTCCGGCAGGCTTTCACCAGCCAAAGTTCACGCTTTACGACGGAAAAACCGATCCCTACATGCATGTAAGTCATTTCCAACAGGTCATGGCTGGACATAGGCGGAATGACGCTCTTATGTGCCTCATCTTTCCGTCAAGTTTGGGCGAACTGGGCTTGAAGTGGTTTGAAAGGCTGCCGGAGGGGAGTATTGAGAGGTGGCATCAGCTGGCCGAAGCCTTTGTCACGCGCTTCAAAATCAACACAAAAACACCAAAGGAAGTCGATCATCTACTGAGTGTCAAGATGGAACCGAGCGACACATTGAAGGCATACAACTCTAGATATTGGGAGACCTTCAATGAGATCTTAGATTGCCCGGTCAACCTTGCAATCACTCAATACAAGCGTGGTCTCCCGATTAGATATAGACTACGGGACTCGCTTACCATGCACCAACCGACGTCCATGGGCCAGCTCATGCAGCGCATCAATGAGCACATCCGAGTCGAGGATGATGCGTCAGCATCTACCGTGAAGGCAACTCCGGTAGCAACAGACAAGAAGACAGCAGGCAAAGTGCACGCAGTTGGGCAAGAGTCCAGTTGCTCAAGTGACCGAGCAGAGGAATCGGACCGTGGCTCGAATCGCAAAAACCGGGGTAGAGAACGTCGGAATGACCGGGAAGACTACCCCCGAGATGTCGTAACGGATGCAAACAGAAGATTGAAGGCAAGGACTGGCATAACCACGGTCTTCAAGATTCCGATCCGATCTATCGCATACTTAGTGAAATCTGAGACGAGGAGTATGTCCGGTTTCCTGCTAAGTTGGGCGATGGACAAAAGGGCTACAATCCGCGGTATCGTTGCACGTTTCATCGGGAGCGAGGCCACCGGACTGAGGATTGTTTGCCATTGAGGCAACACCTGGAAGAGCTAGTCGCGGCCGGGCACCTGGATCTTTACATTGATGGGGGTGTCAAGGCAAATCAAGTTCCGGTTGATCCGCGAGGACCGGACGACAGGGATGCACCTCCTCAAGGGGTTGTGAATGTCATCCACGGCATAGTGGAACCGACGCGTGTTTGCGAGCTCCGTGGTATGATCAAGAAGGCAGAGCACATGAGGGAAGTTTTGTCAGTACAGCCTGCGCTCAAGAGGGGGAAGACGGAAGCGAAAGATGTGATCAGTTTCTCCTCAAGGGACTTAGAGCGCATTCAGACACCGCACAATGACGCCTTAGTAGTCACACTCCGCGTCAAAGATTTTGAAGTAAAACGGATCTTGATCGATCAGGGAAGCTCGGTCGAGATCATGTACTACGACGCTTTCCAACAGCTCAAGCTCCGAGGTGCGGATTTGGCCCCGGCGACATCGCCATTGGTTGGTTTCAACTCACAACCGGAGTGGCCTTTGGGAAAGATTATCCTGCCAGTCAAAGCGGGATCCGTGGTCAAACAGGTGGAGTTCTGGGTATTACAGGTGCCATTTACTTACAACTTGATCCTTGGAAGGGGGTGGCTTCACGCTATGCAAGCCGTGGCATCGACTTTCCACCAAGTAATGAGATTCCCCTCGGCTATGGGGGCAATCGAGGAGATTTGGGGCGATCAGGTCATGTCAAAGTAGTGTTTTGTGGCGGTCAACGGGAGCCGGGCTGCCAAAGGATTTGTTCAAATGGTTGAGGGACCGGAGGACCAGGGTGTCTTGGATGATGTGGGCACCAAGGCCGAAGACAAAGCTGTCAAGGAATTGGTGGAGGTGCGAATTGATACAGAGCAGCCGGACAAGTTCTTCTTGCTCGGCTCAAGCCTTACAGCCACAGAACGGACCGAGATGGTTGAGTTCTTGATGGCCAACATCGAAGTTTTTGCATGGTCGCCTTACGACATGCCCGGCCTCGATCCTAGTTTTATTTGCCATCATCTCAATGTCTTCCCCGGTGCCAAGCCAGTCATTCAGCGAACAAGGAGATCGGCGCTGCATCACGCCGAGGTAGTTGCGGAAGAAGTCAAGAATTTGCTAGAGGCACGAGCAATTCAAGAAGTACACTATCCTCGTTGGATCTCAAATACAGTGGTGGTACCGAAGAAGAATGGGAAGTGGCGGGTTTGCGTTGATTACAAGACCGTCAACCGAGCTTGTCCGAAAGATAGCTTTCCTTTGCCTAGAATCGACCAGCTCATGGAGTTGACGGCTGGACATAACAGACTAAGTTTCTTGGATGCCTACCGCGGCTATCATCAGATTGCCATGCATGGCCCTGACCGAGAAATCACCTCGTTTACTACACCAAGGGGACTCTTTTGCTACGGAGTTATGCCTTTTGGTTTGAAGAACGCCGGGGCAACTTTTCAGAGGATGGTGACCAAGATGTTTGCTCCTTTGCTGGGCCGGACAATGGAAGCCTACATTGATGATATGGTGGTTAAAAGCCGGCATCAGGCAGATCATTTGTCTGACTTGTCCGAGATGTTCGCCATTCTCAAAAAACACAAGCTACGCCTGAATGCGTCTAAGTGTGCCTTCGGCGTGGGATTCGAAAAATTTTTGGGATTCCTAGTCACGAACCGAGGTATCGAAGCAGATCCTACACAAATCCAAGCCGTGCAAGAGTTAAAACAGCCTAGCTCGGCAAAAGACGTGCAGCATCTGGCTGGAATGGCCGCCGCGCTTAATCGATTTATAAGCCGGTCATCAGATTGCTGCTGCCCTTTCTTTCAGTCCTTAAAATCAAAGTTCTCCTGGGATGAAGAGTGTGATCGAGCCTTGGCCAAGCTCAAGGAGTATCTGTCTTCAGCGCCACTGTTGGTCACACCGAAGCCTGGAGAAGAACTCTATCTTTATTTGGCCGTATCACAACATGCAGTCAGTGCGGTGCTTGTTCGGGCTGAAGAAATCAAGCACCTCCCCATCTTCTATGTCAGCAAAACTTTGCTATCGGCAGAGTCGAGATACTTGCCGTTGGAGAAGCTTGCTTTGGCATTAATGATGGCTTCAAGAAAGTTGGCACACTATTTCCATGCACATACCGTCATCGTCTTGACCGAGTTCCCCCTCAAAGCTTTATTCGAGCGGGTAGACTTCTCCGGTCGGATTCTAAAGTGGGCGGTCGAGTTGGGACAGTTTGATGTGAAGTTCCAGCCGCGCACTGCCA